GTCGGCCTCCGGGCCATCCCGGGCCAGAGAGGCAGGGAGGGGCAGGTAGTCCCCCCCCCTGTGGCGTGCCCCCCGGAGTGGGGGGGCGCCGGCCAGGCCGCTCCTGGCGCGCGGCTGCGCTCTAGATGACTTAATCTTTAATAATTATTGGATTTTAGAATTGGCACTACGCTATGCTGTGCATTATTTTTATCAATACAGCATTTTACTTTTCAACAAAGCTATTTTAATGATGTCAAAATATTTCTATGAAATCTGACTTCAAAGTAATAGTTATTTTTATTCATATATTTACTATTTCATATTTTTTATTGTTACATTAATATTATGTCAAATGTCAGAAATTTTTAAATTACTTATCCTATAATGAAACTACTGGTTAAAACTCTAAGGAAACTGTTTGCAGAATTTTACATCATCTAACTACAAAATGAATGCTATTACTCAGCCCCAAACCACCTACTTTGACTCTGCTAGGATTTTGTCATTGTGTAAACCATCTACTAACTTCTTAGGTACAGTTATCCTAAAGCACAATCCCTGACATCACACAGCCACAAGATGAATAAACAAAGAGTAAATTATTCAGAACACAATCTGGCCAAGGACCCAAAGAGGCTGCAAAAGCAGTCTAAAAGCTCTAAAAGCTCCATTTTAGCAGCTGAACAAGAAACAACTCATCTGGAACCAGGCCTTCAAAATGCTTCTCAGGATCATCAGAATAATGAAAGGACCTGCTATTATACAGGTAGAATATTCAACAGCGCTTCAATATAATCACTAAGAATGTGCAGTCGGGGTGAGAGGTGTGGCAAAGTAGGGCATGTTTTTTCCTTTGTAAATTGGATAGAGTGTCCTAATCTGAAATCTGAAGACTGATTTTCTTCAGACATTTTTACAATCTGTAGTATTCAGTCAGCAGCCCATGGGTTATTTTACATACTGAAAATGCAATGATGTATTCAGAAAGAAGGACTTCAATGGCAGGCGTGACCTTGGGATCCAAGTTTACCTTTATGATTCCCTGTGCATGAGTGTTCTCTTATTTGTAAACCTCCTAAGACTGGCTCCATCTATCTTTTCTCAGTGTTTGTTTCTCTCCCTGCAGTTTTACCATCACCTCCAGGGAAGCTCACTGCTGAGATCCTGGGAATCATTTGCCTCGTCTTAGTAGTCACTTTGTTTAAAGTGATGGTTCTCATTCCCTGTAAGTATGTTTTTGAAAGATTATAGAGGACTTTTCTCTTTCATAATTGACAGTGTGTCTTAACTTTTCATATTAGAATTAGTCATCTCATTTTAATATATGGATTGGAATATATGAGAAGTGCATTTCAAAAGTATAAACCAGTCTAATTATAAAGTGAATTTTTTTTAAAAAATTACATACATACAGGACCAGCAGGTGGCATAATGGTTACATTGCTGGACTCCCAGGTAGTCGACTGCAGTTCAAGTCCTGTACCTGGTGGCTTTAAATTCATGTCAGGTGCATGTGCATGCATGCCCAAAATCCTGAGAGGAAAATGGAGAAGAAATTGCAGCACAGCCATCCCCCCATGGGAGGTGATTCCTCACTTTCTATCTCTCTGTCTCTGTTTCTCTGGCTAGCACATGTGCTCTATAGTAAAAATCTCTCTAAAAAAATTACATACATATATAAAATTATTTTATAACTCAGATATATACTTTAGAAGACTGCAAACTTTGAAAAACTTATTTAGAAAAACAAGTTTTAGAGGTGGAAAATTAAAACTGCAAGAGATAATGAAGTTCCGTTCTACAGGATTTTCAAATATTTTTTTCCACCAGGTGTATAGGCATGCATGCACAAAAGCCCAAAAGGAGACTGGAAGAGAAGGGATATTGCAGCACGGCCATCTTTCCCAGGGGGTGATTTCTCACTTTCTCACTTTATGTCTCTCCCTGTTTCTCTCCAGTGAGCACATGTGTCATATGGCAAAAATCTAAAAAAATGAATCAAAGATTTAATTACTTAATATTTTTAGATAAATTTGAGATAAATCTGGAATTTTATTTCAAATTATTCCAATTTTAAATAACACACATAATTTAAAATTTAGAGATTAAAATTATAATGATTAATATAAACATGTTTTTATAAGAATTACCTTACTTTTCCTAGCTCTTGCAATACTGGAGCAGAACAATTCTTCTGTGATAACAAGAACCCAGAAAGGTACACAATGGTTTTCAAACTTCAGATATTTGTCAAGTTGATATTTTGTTTGTATTTTAAGTGGTGAAAAATTAAAATGGGTATTTTTTTGAGAAGATAAACTATAAAACTAGACAATAAAGGTTCATAAACAGATAATAGGGCCCAACTGCTATGATGCAGCAGTTGGCATGCCATGCTTCAGTTAGGAAAGCAACATAATGACTAAGTTTTGAATCCCACAAGCAAATGGCCTGACACCCTGGGCATGCACGAGTGTTGTCAGCCGGAGGAGTAGGAGGAATGGAGAGATGGAATTGTGGCATGGCCTGACTCTATGGAGGGTGCTACTTCCCACTCTCTCTCTCGCTCTCTCTCTCTCTCCATCTCTGTCTAGCTTCTATTGAACTCGTTCTCTCTCTCTCATTGCATATGTACACACTCTATCATAAAAAAATTTAAATGATTAGAAGAACATTTTTTCTCATCCAACAATAGCTAAAAATATTCATTTTAAATCATGATACTTTTCTTATTGACATTTGGCTCAAATATCCTATTATTATAATGTAATAACAGATCATTAATTATATCCTCCACTGATTTTACTGTTCAGTAATTTTCAAGATGTGTAGGAGCGGGCTTTCATTTGCTTTATCTGGGAACATAATTAAGGAATCAGATTCTGACCATTTTCTGAGCTTGTGGATATGAGTCAGGGTGTTTCATTTTTTATGTACCATCTGTGAAGTTTCTTTGATATGTGCATATGTGTTTATGTATTTGCAATACATAGATTTTCATTTTTTAAACCTATAGTTTCTGATTAGTAACTAAAAATTGTTCTTCAGCATATCATCTCAGTAGTTGTCCAAAAGAGTGGTTAATATATTCCAACAGTTGTTATTACATTTCTATGGAAAAAAAAAAAAAAAAACTTGGAATGAGAGTTTGATAGCCTGTGCTTCTAGAAGCTCTCATCTGTATGAGGAAAGTCAGCATCCTGCGCAGGAATAATTCCTGGGTGGAGCCCTTGTAGTTTGCGGTTTCCTGTGCTGATCCCCAAACCCATGCCCTCCCTTCGGATTTCTCGGTGTGGTCAGAGAAACATGTCCTCCGGCTAAAAATTCTTCACGTCTCCTGATAGGTGACCCTTGCCGGTGGTACCAGTCATGTGGGGGGAGGGGTGGTGGTGACAGGACTCCCATTCAACACAGAGGAACGGGAAAGCTTCCCTGACCAACCCTAATTGCTAAACTGGGTGCAGGGAAACAGCAGGTCTAGGTCACCTCTGTTAGGTGGGAAAATGACACACCCAGGCACTCTGTCAATTCCTAATCCTGGTGTCCCAAACCAATCAGCCTACCATTTTTGCTTTCCAATTTCTTCTTTGCTTGTGTCTTTCATCAGTTCTGGGGGTCACAGTTGCATTATTCAGAGTACTGAGTCTGTTCACCTTCTGTGGATCAACTGTATTCCACCAGTACAGAAGTAGGTAAATGGGGGCTTACCTGGTTCAAGAGTGTAGAGCCCAGAAACCAAGTATTTGACTTCCATGTGATTTGTGTTGTTAATGGTAAACCCTTCATTTCCTTCTCAACTCCAAATTCTGGAAAATATAACAGAAAAATACATTCATGTAGCCTCCGTAGCTGTAAAAATGAATGTCCAGTATCTGAAAACTTATTTAAATTCTTTGTTTTGTCAGCATAAGTAACTAGTAAATTACATTAAGCGTAATTTTTCTTATTAGCATGCAAAGAATGAGAGTCCATGTATAAAAACATGAGTGTTACTTTGAGATAAAAATTACAAACGTGTAAGTTTACTTAATGAAAAGAGTGAACTTCAAATTTAATTTGTTTTACAGATTCATTAGAGAATCCATTGACCCATAGACTCATAGTATTACAGATAGATTGCTTTAAACATTAGGAATCTTATAAAGGACTACCTTCCGAAGGTATATTTCAAAGTCCCCGGTTTTGCCAGGGGATTGGAGATGGAACTGGGTTCTGTTAGAGGTGGGGACTTGTTTAAAGTCTTATTGCTGGTGGGAAAAGTGCTTCAGATTTCTTTTTTTTTTTTTTTTTTTTTTAGCTACTCTAATACTGGAGCAGAGCAATTCTTCTGTGTTATCAAGAACTCAGGAAGGTAGATAGTGATTTTCAAAGTATAGAAACTACCACTGTTGATATATTGTCTCTTTTGAAACTGTTAGGCCGAGTTAGCATAATCACCGCCATGTTAGGGAATGCTGGGGAAGTTAGCTTAATCACTACCCTGTTGAGTCTTCAGGGACGGAGCCCACTTTGTTAGGGCCTCAAGGACGGGAACCAGGAGTCTGGGAACTCTCAGATAAGTGGAAAACGGGAGGGCCCAGCACCTCCGAGGCAAGGTCATCCAAATCCTTAGCTGAGAGCCCTTATCTAGACCTAAGCAGGTGGTGAGAGCTGGACCCTCGCATCTCATACCCCCCCTTCCTTTGTGTGTTACAGTCTAGAGAACATCCTGAACTATAAAAGATCCCTTTATCTTAGGCTCGGGGTCCTTGTGAAGGCCCGCTGCGATGGGCTGAAACTTGGACCCCAGCTAGCTGGAAAAATAAAAGCCTCTTTTGCAGTTGCATTGTCGCTGTCTTTTCTGTGTCTCCATCAGTTAGGCCGATCTCTGGACCCTTACAAAACTGTGCAGAAATTATAATAGATTTTTAGGTAATGAACATGATTATGTAATTAATGCTCATAAATAATTTTTTAGAGAGAATTTTGCTGTAGAGTGTATGCAGTGTTGGAGAGACTGAGAGACAGAAATTGGGAAAATCACCTCCTGGGAGGATGGCCAATCTGCAATCTCTTCTCCTCCATTCTCCACTCGGGATTATGGGCATGCATGTACACGCACCTCACATGAGTTTTAAGCTGCCAAGTCCACGTCTCAAACCGCATTCAACTATGTGGGAGTCCAGCAATGTAACCATTACACTATTGGTCCTTCATAAATAAATATTAAAGAAGGACGTTACTTTCTATCCAAAAATAACTTAAAATCTTTCAAATCAGGGTACCCACTTGGTGACATTTGGCTCAGATTTTCTATTGCCATAATGTAATCACAGATAAATTATTTTACTCTTAAGTAACATTTTTGTTCAGTAATTTTCAACAGGTGTAGGGTATGTTTTAATTTATTTGGTAACATAATTAAAAGAAGAGAGTCTGATCATTTTCTGTGCTTGTATCAGTCAGGGTGTTTCGTTTGATAGGTACCATCCTCTGAGGTTAGTTAGATATGTACATATGTGTCTATGAGTATGCACATATGTAAACTATTATTCATTTTTAAAAATCCATATTGCTTCTGTTAGTAATGAATAATCTTTCCTCAGCATATCACTGCAGTGGTTGCCCAAAGGACTGGTTAACATATTCCAACAGTTGTTATTACATTTCTGTGGAAAAGAAAACTTGGAATGAGAGTTTAGGAGCCTGTGCTTCTAAGAACTCTAATCTGCTTTATATAGATAATGAAGAAGAAAAGGTAAGACGATAAATGTTTCAATGGTTTTATTAATAGCTTGTTTCAGTGAGTATTTTATTTGTAGAATTCATCCTTTTTTTTTTGTTGTTAGAGGTTTTTGCTATAGGGCGTGTGCGCTCGCCAGACAGAGAGAGACAGAAAGTGAGAAATCACCCCCCAGGGGGGATGGCCACGCCGCAATCCCTTCTCCTCCATTCTCCTCTCGGGATCTTGGGCACACACGCACATGCGCCCAGCGTGAGTTTTAAGCCTCCAGGTCCGGGACACGAACCGCGGTCAACTACATGGGAGTCCAGCGACATAGCCATTACACTAACTGCTGGTCCCGATATTTTTTGTTTGTTTGTTTGTTTTTAGGTACTTTGTAGGTACAAGTTTATTGTCAAATCAGTGTATTCCATATTTGACTTTACAATGTTTTGTTTGTATTTGTATAATACAAATACAAAAGTGCACATTTAGTTATTTCCTGTCTTGCTTTTCTTAGAAACCAGGCTCTTATAAAGTTCTTTCTTTTTTCTAAAATAAACTTTGCTACATTGTTTTAATGTTCATAAAGAAAGCCAACCATATCTGCTTGTGCAGATTGATCTCAAAGGGAATAAACTAATGATTCTGAGAGTCAGATCACAAATACAAGTTTGTAGCATTCAACAGACCCAGACCTGCGTGTGCTCTCCTCACTTCCTCCTCCTCTAATCACAGCCCTGGATTTAATACAATAACTAAGCCTTGGGTCAGCACATAGGGAGTATCTAAGGTGCTGGACTCCCATGTGGTCGACAGCACTTTGAGTCCCAAACCTGGTGGCTTGTAACATGTATGTGTCTGTGTGCCTAAAATCCAGAGAGGAGAAGGAGGTGAAGGGGATCACAGTGTGACCATTGCCCTGGGCGGATGTGTGTGTGTGTGGTGGGGGGGGAGGGGGGGGGTTCTGGCTTTCTGTCTCTCTGTCTCTGTCTTTCACATTCCCTATATCAAAAATCACTCAAAAAAGATACTATAAATAAGCCTTGCAAATTTCTGAACTGTGTATCAACAATTCATACAGGTATTTCATTCCATAGGTATTTCTAGGACAGTCTCCTTTTACTCCCATATATTTGTGCACTTCATCTGCTTCATTGCACTTTGCTGTAGCTGATTTTCACTGCTTTATTATGTGACTGTAGCATTTGAATAACCATATTATCCTGTGTCTCTGGCTGGGGAAACTGTGTCTTCTGCCCTTGGGGACAAATAGACTTCCTGAGTGGAACACCTGTAGTCTTGGGGTTCCTTGTCTGATCCCCACCCCCATGTCCCTCCAGGGGGTCTGTTGGAGGATGGAGAAGGACATCCTCTTGCTATTTCCCCTTACCATCTCTTCTGATACATGACTGCTGCCAGTGATACCCGCCATGCCTGGGGGAGCTGGCAGGACTCCCTTTCAATATAGGGAAGTGGGGAGAGTTCCTGAGCCACTTCTTATTGCTAGTTTGGGTGCAGAGAACAACAGGCCTAAGTTACTTTCTTCTGTTGGGGAAGAAAGAGACTCACTCAGGCACTGTCTACCCATAAACGTGGGATCCTGAACCATTCGCCTTACTTTTCCCTGCTTTGGGATTGCTCCTTTGCTTGTGTTTTTTAATCAGGTCCAGGGTCACAGTTGCATTTAGTGAGAGTCCTGGGTCTGTGCCACCCACCGTGGGTCATTTGTATTCCACCAGTGCAGAAGCAACAAGTTGGGGCTTATCTGCTTCCAGAGGAGTGTGGAGCCCAGAAAACTAAATATTTGGCTTTTATGTCATTTATTTCTTCAATGAGAATATCTTAATTTACTTCCAAACTCCAAAATCTGAAAAAGTAGCCAAAAAATATACTGATGTTGCCACAGTAGCTATAGAAATGAATGTCCAGTATATGAAAGCTTAATTAAATCCTTGCCATGTTTGTTTGGTCAGCATGAGCAACCAGTAAATTATAAGAATCACAGTTTTCCTTATTAACATAATAACTTCCAAAGTACAAATACATAAGAGTTATTTTGAAATAAAAATTACAAATGTTTGTAAGGCTTTTTTAATGCAAAAAGTGAATTTCAGCTTTAATAGATTGTTTTATGCATTATAGAATCTATAGATTATAGATTCAGAGTTTAATAGACAGATTCTTTTAAAAATTGGGGCTTCTATGAAAGAATGCACTGCTTACCACTTTAATAATATTAGAAGCTTTCATAATGATCATTTAAATAAAAATTAATTACTTTTTGTAGGAATTGCTGGGGTCCTTAATGCCTGCATCATGGATTGGAGTTTTCCGTAAGAGCAAAGAACATCCCTGGGTATTGACAAATGGCTCAACCTTCAAACTCAAGTATGTTTCTTTGAATGATGCTATATACGGGAAGAAAATACAAAAGAAAGAAAAATTCAGAATGATATATTAACAAGTTTAAGCTGAATTATAGACATAAAGAAAGATGTAGAAGTGTGAAATGTTAATATTAATACCAAACAATAGACTACTCAATTTTGATAATAACCAACTCTTAGGGAAATTATAGAAAACAGTCATATATTTTCTTAATTTTAAATTATACAGGAAAATTATTATTTCTTGAATAATCTTCTTAAATATAACAGAATTGTCCCTTTTTCTCCACTACAGGATAACAGAATCACCTGGTGCACATAACTGTGCCATGCTCTCCTTCATAGATCTTCTATCATCTTCTTGTGAACTTACACACACCTACGGCTGTAAGCATGAGCTTCAGAAATAATACATGCACATTTGGAATGTCAGGCAATGCTATTGATCATAGAAATAGGGATGTGATTGTATAAGCCTGAAAATAAAGTATATTTTTAAAATTATTCTCAAAAAGTGATTGAAGTATGATAGACTCCAAAAACTACAAATACTACTTCTGTGTCTGGCAGTTTTTTCTCAACATTATACGTGTGGCATTCCACCTTTACAGCAGTTTGCTTGTTGCATGATGTAGTTTCTATGAATTATCAAGAACAGGCAAACTCATGGGGACAGAAACGGGTTTAGTGGTTTCCTGTGACTGTGAGGAGGCTAATAGAGACTACTAACAAGTGCAGTTTTTCATTCGGAGTGATGGAACCTTCTTAAGTCTTGAAAGTTTGGTATTCTAACACTGTTACCACTTTAAAAATCACTGATTTATACATTTTAAATAGATGTAATTCTTACTTGTACATCACACTTCATTAAACTGTTAAGAAATAAACTCTCCTGAGATTATGTTTAGTACTGCATTAAATCATTGAAATAATTTTAAAAATTGATTACTTTTACAATATTGACTTCTATCAAATAACTATGTCTTTCAATGTATTGTTTTTTAAAAATTCCAATCAGATTTTATATATTTTGGTATTGAAATTTGTCAGAAATACAGGTATTCCCACATATACATTTGTAAACTGCATTCTTATTTTAAGTTTCTTTATGTTTGCTATAAAGAACATTAATTTTTGTTATTGCTAAATAGAAAAGTAATCTAGGTTTGTGTGTTGACCTTATACCCTGTGACTTCACTAGTTTATGTATTAATTCTATCATTTCAAGTACATAAAAGATAAAATGTTTTCTAGGTTTTCCAAATAAACAGCTATTTTCTCTGTAAATAATCATACTTATTTTTTTATTTCCTGGTACTAATTCATTTATTTATTTTTGACTATTTTCACTGGTTAGAGTTTTATTTTCAATGCTGAATAAAAGGTATGATAAAGGGTTTGTATATATCATATATCACATTTCCTATTTTAGGGAGGAAATTTTGAACATTTCATCTTATTTATGAAGATTTCTTTCTTAAACCCTTCTAACACTGAAGCAGTTTTGTAATATTCCTATTTTTAATAGATTTAGTTGTCAATTCATGCCCTATTTTGTTTTACATAAATTGGAATGATACATGTTCTCAAAAACATTAATGAAGTAGACTATCTTCATTTCTTTTTTTTTCTAGGCAATTCTTTTATTCATGTGTTTTCTTTAAACTTGTTTATTGAGAGACAGAGAGATGAGTCCCACCAATGTGGTCTCACACTGTGACTTCCTTCTCTTCCCTTTTTTCTGGTCTGTACTTTTTAATTAATTAATTTTATTATTACTCATCATTAAATCGCTATACATCATTTAGATTGTGAAGAGACTTTACCCAGCATATATGCCTCAGTCCAGCCCAGTTGAGACCACCAAAACCATTCCTGCATTTCTGAAATGAAACCATCAAATTGTTATCATTCTGCATTGCCTGCTTTAAAGAAATAGTGTATGTTATACATTTAAATATGGTCCTTTTCATCCCGGTTCACAAGTAAATTTGGCTGTATTTCCATTTGTAACTATTAACTTGAAAGGAATTTCTATCAAGGATATTTGGGGAGGGATTCTTCTTTTACTATAACGTGGACAACTTTGTGTAAAGAGACCATTCTGTTTTTTGTAATGCTGTTTATGTTTGTAAAATATTTCTGTAGGAAGGTTTATAATAACACACTTAATTTCTTTAGTACACGTAGAGTTTATTCAGTTTTCTATTTGCTATAGTGCATTTTTCTAAGAATTTTGTAATATATTTTAAGAATGCAATGTATTCATAATATAATTTTATTATCTCTTTAATATCTAGAAAAACTCTACTGGTGTTTCCATGTTTAGAAATAAACTATATATGGCTTCTCAAATTTTTCCTTCAAAAGTCTTTTATCTATTTTATTCACACTTCTTAATGAAAATAACTTTGACCCTATGGCTTCTTTTTACTATAAATTTTTCTGTGATTTTGTACTATTTGTTGTTTCTTTTCCCACTTCACAAAGATTCTACTTCAGTTTATAGTAGGTCTTCTTAGTTTCATGTGACTCATGCTCAGATAATTCGATTTTGTCTTCTTTTTGTAACATATACTGTTAAGGATATTAGTGTTCCCAGAGACTCTGTTGTTCTATTTTCTCTGAAATTCATAAGAAATTGTGAACACTCATAATCATTTAATTCACCCATAAGTTATTTATGATATATTAATGATTCAAAAAACACAAAGTTTTTTAAAATTTTGGTTATTGACTTGTAGTGAGAGAATTTACTGTGAAGCCGGAAACGTTTTACCACTCTGTTTGAACATGGTCCCTATAACTCAGAAATCCATTGTAAAATTTTGTTTATTTTGGATTGATTAAAATATAAATTTGAGAAGCTAAATTTCTTATCCTTAGCAAAAATCTATCTTAAAAAGACACACACACACACACAGACACACACACACACACATATAAAATTTACATTTATGTGTGTGTGTATATATATATATTTATATATAGTCTTGGATTTAAACTATAATTTTTCTATTTATAAAAAAATTACTAAATTGTTCAGCATCATGTGATTTTTATATTTTTGTTTGTAAGTAAATATATAAATAAAATGTCATTATTAAAATAAAATTACCTTTTAATTTGTATTAAATATTACCAAGTTTTGAGCTTTTTTCTTCATATTCTTATGTTTTCACATTAAACGTGTTTATTGTTCACTTTCCATTCTATGAACTTGTTAATTTTATATGCTTCAAATTTTTTTAAATTATTGCCTTGCATTTTGCAGCACACATTCTATTCATTAAAGTAAAACAAATGGTGGTTTTTGCCTTTTCTTAGACAGGGAGGAAGTTTACCCATTCCATGTTTGCATGCTTGTGTCTTTCGAAAATTCATGTGGAAACTCAATCCCCGTTGTGGCTGTATTAAGAGATGAGTCTTTTGGGAAGTGATTTGTCCTGAAGGTTCTGCTGAAATGAATGGATTAGTGTCTCATAAAGGGCTAAAGCTTTGAGCCCTTTAGTCCTTCTACCTTCTGTTATGTGAGGACACACCACAAAGTGCCATCGTGGAAGAGGGAAAGAAAAGAACAGCTCTGCCCAGACTAGAGACCTCATGGCTTCTTGATTTTGGATTTTCTACCTCCAGAACTGAGAAATAAATTTATGTTGTTTATTATTGGGTTGGCGCCAATGGACTAGGGCAACCTTAATTTACTGCTTAGGCAGAATTTTCTTACTTGATTCTAATATGAATAAATGTTTTTAAAATCGATGGCCAGCCCCATAGACAATGATAGCAGTTTGTATCCCAGCCTGAGTGGCTTAGAAAACACAGTGAAGGGCCAGCCAATGGCATGGTGGTTAAAGTGGATGGATTCAACACAGTCAAATGAATGGTTCGATTCCCAGACCCAATGACTTGGAAAACATGCTGGGTTTGTGTGCATGTTTGCACACAGGAGGAGAATAGAGAAATTATCGTGGCATGAATATACCCCTGGAAGAATGCTTTCTCATTTTACCTGTCATTCTGTCTGTGTCTCTCTGTCTGTGTCTCTGTCTCTCTGTCTCTCTCTGGCAATTGTCCATGTCCTCTGACAAATTAAAGGAAAATAGAAGAAAATAGAAAAGAAAAAGAAAAACACACTGGGCATGTGTGTGTGTATGCCTTAAATTTCAAAAGGATGGAGAAATAGATGAGATTGGAGTGTGACCATGTCCCATTGGAGAATGCTTTTTTCCTCTCTGTCTTTGATCTTTCTTTGTCTCTCTAGTGAGCACACATGTCTTTTGACAACTAAAGTAAAACTTTTTTATATTTTGTTGACTAAATATTTATTTAGTTATATATACATAATTTCTTTCCATCAACTATCCAGTTCATTTGCATATTCAAGTTTTCATCTGGAATAAGGATTTTTTTTTTTTAAGAATTAATTCAGGTAGTGGCAGATGGCATAAAGGTTATGTCACAGGACTCCCATGTAGTCAAATGTGGTTCGAGTCTTGAACCTGGTGGCTTGAAACTCATGCCAGGTGTGTGCATGTGCATGCCCAAAACCCAAAGAGGAAAATGGAGGAAAAGGGACTGTGGCATGGCCATTTCCCCCTGAGGGGTAATTTCTTCTTTTATGTCTCTCTGTGTCTCCAGTGAATGCACACGTCCTATAACAACAATTTCTCTATTAAAAAAAAGAATTATTATATTTCATTTTATTTATAATTATAATTATTTTTAATTTGACCATAATGAGAGACAGAAAGAGGGAAAGTGAGAAAGCAAGGCGTCAGGTTCGGAACTAAACCATGGACAGCCATGTGGGAGTCCAGCACCTTAACCACCATGATACTCACTGGCCCCTAAAATAAGTTCTTTATCGTTAGAGAATTCCTAAGTATTTCCTTAACTGAAGCAAGTTGATAATTACATTTCTCCATTAAAAAATAAAATCTTGAAAATATATTTGTTTGCCTTTATATTGAAAGAACAATTTCACTTGTTATTAACTTCTATATCCATTTTTCTTAAGACAAAATAAATTTATTCCTAATATGTTTAAGTATATGCTTATACATGGATATTTAATAATGTAGTATATAAAAATAAAGCATAATTCTAGAAGGTATTACATAACCAGACAAAATCAGCCATTGCTGAAGAATCAAAAGTTAATCCAGATGCAAAGTCAAAAAGTTGCATTTAAACTACAGTGTTCTAGATTTTGCAAAGATAAACATGTGAATTTGCTTGAACTCAGTCTTAGAAACTATGAAGAAGTGAAGTGAACATCCTTAGTAATAACAGGGAGCAGGACCAGCAGGTGGCATTGTGGATAAAGCTCTGGACACTCCCACATGGTCAACCATGGTTTGAGTCCTGGACCTGGTGGCTTGCTTTCTCATGTATGACTTTACTTTCAATATAAAGGTCTAGTTTTTTTGACCTCCTCATTTATTCATTAGCTAAGATATTTTATAAATTAATTGTTCTCTACTTACATTGACTTGGGCTTTTGTTTTTCATAGCAAATATTTTTTTAAAAAGAAGTCAAGTAGTTCAACATTGTTTAATTTTTTTTCTTTTTCAGACACATTTATTTTTATAAATCTGAATAACTGATTTTCATAAAATAAACTTGAATGCAGTAATTTCAAGAACCAGGTATGATGGGGCCATGCAGGCAACACAAGCTGGTAAGGATGCTGTCTCCCATTCTAAGGAAAGGCCTGGACTGGGAAGAAACTGAGGCAAGGCCCAGTTTACGAGCTCTCCCTTGTGTCCTTGAACTGGCCGGTATTCGATTTCTCTGCCGTGAGTTTTTATGGTACCCTGCAAGGGTAAAACATCACCCCCAACCATTGCAATAAAGCCAATTAGTGATCTTGTAGGAATGTGGTTCCCTAAGACTGACAGGAGGATCAGGAAGTTTAAGACTCCCCCACCTGTCTGTTTTTAAG